TTTTTTTTTCATAGACTTATTTGCTTGTCTTCTTTGCTGATGCTACATTATGTTTCTGGTGGAACAGGAAAATATGTGATCCTGGTTTGACTTCCTTTGAGCCTGAGGCCCTGGGCAACCTCGTTGAAGGACATGACTTCCATCGCTTTTATTTTGAAAATGGTAGGTTCAAGACGATTAATTCTAACTTTAGAAAAAAAGCTGCTTTAGCAGTATCTTGAGGACTCATATCGAGAATTGCCTGCAATTTCTGCATTTCAAAAGAAAATCGATAAACTACTAACAACCTGGGTAACATTTGACAAATTAAAATGGAATTAGAAAGAGAATTTGCAGAATTAAAAAGAGAATTTGAAGAGAACTTTTGCTTATGCAAAAGATATCTGCAACTAAAATCTACCAGCTTTTAGTGTAAGAGTTAGAAACAGCTGGCTGACCTCGAATCAGCATTTGATACTAGGAGTAATTAAGGATTATGTTTAAGTAACAGTACTGGAGTCTTTAACCTCCTAGGACCTGGTGTCCACATATGTGGACATCACATTTTGGGTTGTCTAGACCAAAATACAAAATTTTGCTCTACCAGGGCCTGATATCCACGTACGAGGCCATTCTACTGCCACTGTTCTATCAAAATTTAAAACGAATGTCCTCATATGTTGATCTCATTTTTCTCAGAAACAAAAGTCAGGTAAAAAAAATCTGGTAATTCTTTGTTTTTACATTCATCAGGTCCCAATCAGCCCAAATAGCAAAGAGAAATGAAAAATGCATACCACGAAAGAGTTCTGGTCTTAGGAGGTTAAACACAGAGAGTTAGTATAAACATGTTTGCCTACATTGGTATGACAAGATGAATGAACTAATGCACAAGTCGTTTATCTCAGTCACAGTCTGGAGAACTGTTGATTTTTCAGCAGGGGAGAACTTGCATGTTTACATTAAATGTTCTGATGAAAACATATGGTTGAAGAGACCAAACACAATCAATATACTACACTGGAGGAACAAAAAATTTCATTTTGTAGTTTGTTTTAATACAAAGTCGAACATTAAGACTGCTAACTAATTTTTTTGAATCTGCATTCTCCATCTGGTGGTTACTTTGCTGCTGGAACAGCTAAATTTCACCAATGAGGGACAATAAAGGATATTTCTATTCTAAATAACTGCAACTACTAATCTGAGCTGTCAATAGAAATCCCTCTTTAGGGAGCTGATAAAACAGAAACAAGCCAAATAAAAAAAGACCTTGAGGAAAACAAATGTATGACATATTAATCTTCTTTTCAACATTCACACTATCAAGTACATCTGTGCATGTCAACACCAGTTCATAAATTTGTAAATAGTTGACTTAAGCTTGTCAAAATGATAAATGTGTGCACAGAGCTATGGAAACTTTTATTTGGAGGACATAATGCACAAAAAAGGGATAATATGATTAAGATACCTAAAATAACAAAGTCCAGTTCACAACCAAGGAGTTATTCGGATTGTTGTTGAAAGACAATATTATAGGAACATTATTGGAGTTGGACTGGATTGTTTGTCCTATATCAATATTTAGTTCCGTTTGTAGTTCATATTTGCTGCTAAACTACAAGGGCATTGACTAACCTTGGAGCAAAAAAAAAAAAAATCACTCATGAATAATGACTGCTATAAATGGCAGAATGTCCTCAGTCTGGGTAAAAATAGTTCAGATAAACCAGATATGCCCCAGAAACCTCAATCACTTGGCAACCCCATGCTTGTCCACTATCCAGCATCAACATATGGAGACTTCACTTGCTCTGATTTCATATCAGTTAATACTCCAAAGAAGAATCAGCATTTTGTTTTTGATGCGACTGTATCTGCTGTATGATATTAACATAAAAAGGAGCAATTCTTAGCCAACTCTGTGTGGAAAGTGGGGAAATACTACCCATAACATTCACATATTGTGTGGCATCTTTCTCTATTTCATTTGCAGCATTGTCCAAAGGGAATAAGCCAGTTCACACCATCCTATTGAACCCACATGTGCACCTTATTGGGGAAAATGCAGCATGTATTGCCTATATTCGGCTGACCCAATACATGGATGGCAGTGGCATGCCTCGCACCATGCAGTCTGAGGAGACCCGAGTTTGGCACCGCCGTGATGGAAAGTGGCAGAACATTCACTTTCATCGCTCTGGCTCGCCCAGCATCCCCCAGTAAGAGACAGTAAGAACTGCAAAGCTGAAAATGTGTTTTAGGAAAATAGATGTACCACCTGACTAATGTAATGCAGCTGTGGGCTCCGGGGTATGATCACTGTTGGCTGTTGCACCTAATCAATAGAGGGCACACTCTCTGTGCTTAACCAGTCGCATAGCTTATTTCAGTCAGTAATTATAATTATCTGTTTAAACACTTAAACATCTGTTTGACATTGAATTTATTTTTTAATTATCAAACATTATTCAGATGAAGTTGCAGGAAATGATATTACAGAATATAACCAACAACGATCGTGGAATTATGCTTAGAAAAATGATTCTGTTTATCTGCACCTATATTCTTCTACTCTTTTAAAAATTAAGGTATGAGGTTTCATATACATACTACCATTGTGTGGAATTCGAGCTCAACATATTCAACTTCAATTCATGTTTTGATCAAGCTGTAGTACATTGGTATAAAACTTGCCGTTGTCCAATGTAGTGGATGAGACAAAGAAACAGAAAAGGGGCAGTCAGAAAACCTTGAAGACTGTTTTACATATGCACTATTGCATATAAAGTATTACAACAGAAACGGCGAGAATGGAATTATTAAGTAGAATATGCAAACTAAGCTGTCGTAGTACTTTAAGCAGGAAGCATTCTTTATATTTCTAGATGTTAAATGCTTACCTCTAGAGAAACATTCTTGCTTCTGCTTGGTGAAAAAAGGGAGGTAACCAGGATGAGCTGTTCGATGAAGTGTGCGTTCTTTTGTGATTCAGCGACATCCTTTTATTGTTAGAGCAAAAATAATTATACCAGGCTTGGCATTGTCGCTCTTGAATTTCCCCGAAGTTTCCTTACTCCTACTAAGATAAAAATAAGTACCAGCTATCACTTCACTATTGAGAAAGCAGGGAATTTCTGTATTACGGTATGATGTAATATTAATTTAACCACAACCCCCCTCTATGTCCTGGGCTTCCTACTCTATCACTCTATCAAAGCTTCAAAGCCAATATTTGGTGTGACCACCTTTATTCTCCAACACAATCTGAACTGCCTTAGCTAGCTTTCTTCTAATATCTTTAAGTGGTCTTCAGGAACTGTTTTTCCACAAGGCTCTCAGTAACAAAGTGCCTAAAGATACAAAAGTTAGTTCTTTGTTCATTTCTCTGTTATATGTAGACAAACACTGGTTAGTTAATTCTGTCAGCAAGGTACCTTTTTATGAATGAACAATTCATAGTCTCATTTGTGTGGCCTAATAAGTAAACACAAATCAAAATAAACCACAGCAACAACAACAACAAATCATCTTCTGAAAGTGGCCAGGTCGAATAACTGTGCAAAGAAAACAACTGAAAAAACTTCAGAAAGCCAGGAGAATTATTGCTAAAGACCAATTTGGAAAGAAAGAAAATCTGGCTCCATGGAAGCAAAATATTATAAATGCATGGTGGCTCTATATGTTTGGACGGTATTGTAGCTAGATTATGTAAACCAGTGCTACGAGCACCGGTAGCTAAAAAGTTTCTGAATGATTTTTGATGATTTTTTTCTTTCTTTCTATCTGGGAAGATTAGAATAGTTTATAAATCCATGAATCCATAAAGCCTGTTTCAGTTTAACCGTTGTTTTTAATTAATTGCATGCTCAAAAAAACATTTTGTCTCACTACCATTTCTTCTTGTTGCATGTTGAAGCTCTACTTGGAACCTTGTTAAGATCCAACCATGCAAAATATGATTTTTTTTGCCATTTTCAAGTGTTCTTAAACTTTTGATCGGGGCTGTATGCGCTGAAACTGTAGTTGTATAACATAAAATATCACCTTAAGCATTCTGTGCAGACTTTCTTTAAAAGTGAAAGAACTCCTGCTGATTTGTTTTGAATTGAGAGCCTGGGAAATGTTCACTTGGCATGGCATGATCATAATATCGTGTATAAACTGTTTGCTTTGCAAAGGTTAAGTATAAATATTGGCATTATATTTGAACACACCTGTGCAAGTGTCTTGTTGGCATTTCTGGGATATTACCAGTAAACAGTATCGCAGAGCTGTTTGCATGCCAGTACCATGCCAGTACTTTTCACTTTCACTGATGTGTGCTTTTCATTACATGCCATTACACGCCTTAATATGTTTTCTCAAAAGATCCTTTTTATGCTGTCTTGTCAGCAGAGATTCACATGGTTGCTCTCTGTCTTTTCAGTTAATGGAACATCAACATGTGGTCACATAAAAAAAAAAGAAAAAGAAAAAAGAACCCTCATCAGCAAATCTAGTGGAGTTCATGACTGCTCTTTGACCCCTCCATAAGGATATGACATACCACAGGAAACAAGTATTACTACATTTTACTGTTATGGTATTTTATTAATGGACATCATTCGAAACCACCACTGGGTGGCTGCACACCGTATTTGGACATTATGAAACAAGCATATTGAGAAAAAAAATCTTTTTTGTTTGTTTTTTTAAGATGTTTTGGTATGCATTTTAAATATAAAATAGAGATGTTTAAAGATCTACAACTGTAACCTCTCCCAAAAAAATAGTTATGTATTTTTATGTGTATTTATGTGTGTGCAATTCAAAAACATTTGGAAGATCAGAATGTTAAAAATTGAGCTTGCTTTAGTTCTGGTGATGTATATACATTGTGATTGTTGGTTTAAAAACACAAAACACAACAAAAACAAATACTGAAATTGCTATTCTTGCTATCAGAGGACTTAAGAGTTTACGTAAAATCCAGTTTATGAGCTACATTTATGTTTGCTATGAGCTAAGTCATACTGTTTAAATTGTCAGATTTCAATCTATAGTACTAATTTAAATGTAAAGAAAAGCAGAGCAGCTTACACTTGCGTTGAGATATGTTTGCCTTTATATAAGTGAAATAAGAAATAAGAGAATGTAGCATATATGTAATATATGAAAATCCAAGACTATTGTGTAGTGCATGGTGGGGGGAGGGGGGTGTTATCGTGCTAAGATCATATGAAACTATTATATCTTCTGTTTGATTTGTCAGTCACTGACTTGTTTGTTTGTATTTGTTAATGTTGTGCATCAGTCCTGTCCAAATGTTTCTAATGTCCTCCAGCATCATGGAACTGTTGTAAAAACAATAACATTGTTATTGTTACCATCCAAATATCGGAATCTCATATCTAAGAGGAGGAGAATAAACTCCGGGTTGCCGAAGCACCACTTACATTTTGTACAAAAAATAAGACGAAAACAAGCTCATTTTTCATAACGTTTGTACTTGTATTGTATAACTGTATGTAGGGTTTCTTTTGTCATTTTATTCTTGTCATACCAGTGTGTTATTTTGCCAATTGCATAGAGGTGGTGCAGATGATGAAGATGGCACAAAAGCACTAGAAGGTTTGCCTTCTGTCAGGTCAAGTGATACAAACTGGTGGTCAGACTAATAGGTCTGGAAGCACTGTAATGAAAAAGTTGCACCAAGGCAAGAGGATGGTATCAGAAAATTGAAGGAGAGAAAGTGCAATGGACTGTAATAAATGTTGGGATGTCTTCCTTGGCGATCAGTGCTTCTGCTAGCCAGTGGTCTTACCACTGCAGGACAATGGCAGTGTCTTTGTCATCCCTACTGTTTGCTCTTTTCGACTGATTTGTCTCTTCTTTTTTTAAAGGGAAAATATGATAAACATTTCTTTCGACAAAACGTATGATGTCAATGCAATGCACCACTCCTTATCTGGTGTGTAACTGTTGCCAGCATGGCAATGGATGGCTTAACATGTTTAAGAAATAAATAAATCAGCTAAAATATGTGATAATTGATGTGTTTTAATTTTATTTTGTGTTATTTTGGTATTGATTTTTCATGCATTTGTGTCCTGTGGTTTGGTCACTGTGTGATTAGATGGCTGTGCTTCAGAAATGCTAAGCCCAGACCAGGCTATATTGTTGTGCCTGATTATTTGGATATTTAAAGACTTATATTACATTTTCATGTTTAAACATACTCTGAAATACAACATGTACAACCTGGGCTCTGGGGAGGCCAATCCATGAATGATAGTGTGCATACGTATCTTTTTTCTACGCAGGTATGCTTTTACTGCATTAGCAGTGTGTTTGGGATGATTTTCCGGCTGAAAATGATGCTGTTATTAATCAGATGCTTTCCAGATGGTATTGCATGGTGGACCAAAATATGATTGTTCACAGTTCCATCAATTTTAACAAGATCTCCAACAACACTGACTAAAATACAGCCCCAAACCATGACAGAGCCTCAGCTGTGTTTTATAGTATGACTGTAGACAATCACTGTTATGACGTCTTCTTTTGTCCTGATTCCTCAAATTTTTTAAGGATACATTGTACACGATGTTGAAATATGCCAAGTGTTGAGTTGATGGCGCTTTGGGAATCACCTTGTTGTTGCAAAATTACCATTTACTCCTCAAAGTGTTATCTTTGGCTATTTTTTGTATTCAACTAAAGAAATGGAAAAGAATTATGTGCTTTTGCTAGTAACAAACTGTCTAAAGATACAGTTATAAATATGTTCTTTGCTAATTTGCCTGTTTTGTGTAGATACAACACTGGTTGATCCTTGTAGTTAGATGCCTTTTTGTGCATGAATGATTGATTAAAAAAATATTCCCCTGAAAATGGTCAGGTGTGAGGACTGGACTGAAAATGTGTGAGAAAGCATTTAAATATTTAAGCTACCAGGTGAAACATGTGTTTATGATCAATAAAGTTGGATTCTACTTACCTTGGTAGTATGGAGGTAAAGTGTATTAAATAAGCAGTTCAACCTTAAATGACCTCCTTGGATGAAGATTTGTTAACCTTTCAACCCTCTTACCATCAACAAGTTCTTGAATTCACCAGCTTTGTCGGGCTACTGCACAAGGACAACTGCAGGGTGCTAAACCAAGGAAAGGATCTTTAGATCACATCTCCAGAAGAGTGCATTTCACACAGACCTGAACATGTGTCAATTAGGCAAATCAATTTCTTAACCCACTGTGATGAAAGCTGTCCTGTCCTGTTTATAAACCATTTCTTCCCAAGTAGCTGATTTGACTCTTAGTAAACATGGGTGCAGATTTATGGATCATTTGTAATACTTTTTAAAGACTGGAACTGTGTCTTTGAAAATGTGTAGTGTGAGGTAAAATTCATACAACCCATTTATCTTGAGTTTAAATGGAAATCTGTTTCTTCTGGGTTACCCCTGAGGCCCAGCAGGAGGCAGTACAAACTCTACTAAGTACATGTGCCTAACTTATATCTTTATTACAAAACTGATGGGACTGGATGTAGCAGGAATTAAAAAAGACAATTTTTAAGATAATTTTTCCTTTGTCACAGTAGAAAAAGTGTAGTGTATTAGACATTTTCCCAACAAACAAAAGCTCCCCAGTTCAGTTCTGAGACATAAATCCTTTTGGAGTGAAGTCAGGAAGAAAATCCAGCATGATATTCATGGTCAAATATGCAGACAAGGCGCCCTCTTGCAAATAAAGAAGCAGAGTAAAGTAGTTTCTAGAAAAGCACAGATGGAATTAATAATTCTCAGTTCCAGTAAGCTCTGAACTTGGTTATGCAAGACCTCCCCTGAGACACAACCATCAACAATACACCCAAGCTACTGTTTTGGCATGTCAAAATGGCCCATTTTACAGTTAAAAGATGTAATCAGATACAACACTGCACATTTGTAGATTTTTATTCTCAGCTATAGATACACTGCAGCCATTTTCTATTCTGCACTTTTGACTTTTGATACAGTAATACATGCCTTTATAGATATTTATTTATATATGCATTGTATATGTATATAACGGGTCATCATCACAGAGAAGGGATGCTGAGTCTTCAAATTAAAAGCATATCTGTCACAGTGAATCTCCACTAATTTGCATTTTTTTTCTCTAAATCACAAAATAAACAGTGAGAGTGAGAGTAAATACATTGCATGTTGTAAATACAAACAGTAGCGATGCTCCGAGCTGTGGATAATCATATATTTAAGCTCTCAACCTGCTTTGTTACAGCAATCCCTCCACAATGAGACTATCCCTGTGGCTGATATATTCTGTACCTTGTATTGCAGTGCACAGAAAGCATGGAGGTTTCCTCTTCTGACATTCAGGAGTGCAAATGCTAATTGTGTAAAATAAACATTTCTTTTCTTTGCTGACAGAAACTGCTACACATCCTTTAACTACACACGCCGAATCATTCACTCACACACATAACACAAAACCGCCTTTATCTACTTCAACAATCAGATTCAAAAGATAAACTAACAAATCTTTACATAAATAAAACACTGAGTGTATCATCATCTTACCACAAATGTAATATTAGAAAACTGGGATTATTTCATTTCCCAGTGCCAAATCCTGAGGGGCTGAATTATTAAATTAAATAACTTCTCTACACGAAAATGAAAATGAAAAAACAAACAAACAAACATCAGCAAACAAGTTAAAATCAACTACAGAAACTTTTGACCAGCGTTCAGTGTGGTATTTAACTCATCAAATGCACAGACAAAATCAAACCTAAAGCACGTACAGTCACACCTGCACTCATCACATCCATACTTTAAAAGAGGAGGTCAACAATGTTTAGTTGAAACATAATAATAAAGAATGAAAGACACACACACACACACAAGGTAAAGAAAAGCAGAAGGGCAATCCACACAACGACAAAGCAGTCAAAGCTAGGATCAAACTGACAGATGTTGATTAGTCATGCCTGTTAAGTTCACATGAGTGATTATTCATTCCTAGGCTACAGATGTCAGTAATGTTGAGATTAAATAGAATATATAATTCCCAAAGACAGAGTACACATAGTCAACACGAAACACAACAGCAGCAGTTAAATTCAGTGTCAGTACAGTCTGATTTTCTGTTTGTGACATCTTGACCATCTGAATCAAAAAAGCAGAGGCTAGTACAGTGAGTGAGAAGTTGTTTTTTTTCATAAAGGATTATCTGTGAAAGTTGTGAGAGGCAGTGCAATGTGAAATATCGTCTTTCAGTCCAAGCACCTACTCCAAGAGCAGTACCAGTGTTTTTAAGTAAAATGTACTTCGGAGGTTTGTGAGTTATTTGATGGGGATAGTGTCGCTCTGTTTTCTTTGAGTGTTCTGTTGCTCTACCACAGGATAAGACAAACCTATCAGACAACTTGAATCAGAAAGTAAAACAATCAGGAGATCAACAAAAGGCTTTCTTTGGTCACAAAAGGCAAAAAAATAAAAAAAATAAAATAAAGAAACTCAGAAGTACTTTAAAACCACACAGGGAAAAAACTCCAAATCAAGAACTAAAGATCATCTTCCAGGTCCTAAAGGGGAAGACTGTGGTAGCTTTGAGGTGTGTTTGTGCACACTAGGATTGCATGTGACTAATGCATAGGACTAGCAGGGATTTTAGCATGGGCACAACGAGGGAGTTGGGCAGAGTGTTACTCAATCATTTACTCTTCCTTCCTCATCATCATTGTTCTTTTCTTCTTCGTAGTAGCGGTGAAAGAGCTGGTGGAGATGCTGTTGGAGATCACGGGTTTTCGATCCTTTTCTGGGGTGGTCCACTTTCTCTTGAATGACCTGTTTGCGCTGCCCAGCTCCCTCAACCACTGTTCGTGTGAGAGTGCAACCTTTACGCAGATGGGCCCTGGACAGGTAGCAAGAGGCAGGGAGGGGAAATAGATAAAGAAAGATAAATATCTTTGAAAAAATTCACCTGTGGAAAATAAAGTAAAGGAAGAGCTATAGTTACAGATATGTTATAGGAGAAAAAAAACCCCACACAGATTAGACCGTGTAAATCCAACATTACATTTTTGGATTTACACAGTTGAATTGAATTCAGGTTTACTTATAAAGTGCCAAATCCCAACAACGATCACCTCAGGACACTTGATACTGTAAAGTAAAGACCCTATAGTATTCTGAAGAAAACCCCAATAATAATCAAGTGACTCTATATCACCCACATGGGGGACGAAATGTGAAAGCTTTTTTAGAAACTCTAGAAACCACAAATAAACCTGCCGTCTGAAAGCAGAAGTGCTCTGTTGGGATAATATAAAACTGTCTGATGACGGTATGATGAAGCCTGATTACTCAGGATTTTGTATGTAAAGAGAAGGACTTTAAATTCAGTTGTGGACAGTGAGCCTGAGAAGCAGTTATGGGAGAAATTGATCTCTCTTTCTCATCTCTATTAATACTCGCTGCACACATGCACAGCAACTTCATGGTCTTGATGCATGCTCGATCGTCCAGGTAAGGAAATCCCCACAACTTGATTCTGTTCATCTGGACCTGAAATCACTATGACTAGATGAAAGGAATCAATTTTTTGTGAGCAACTTCATAGCTATTTTCTTAGTGGAGAAAGCTTAAGATTGTGTTGCAAAACTCATACTGTTAAGGCTGAAAACATGTCGTCCCCTGCGTGGAACCTGAATTCAGGTTCCTCAAACCAAGGAATTTCTTTTGAGCCAGTTTTTCCTGAATTAAACTTGTTTGTAAAATACCACCATTAGGAAACCTACGGAATTCTACTCAAAACTCATTTGTGTCAAAATGTATCTTTTTCCTTTTCATTTTTGTGTCTTTTGCTTGTTAATTACTTGGAATATTTAAGGCTATTCAACTTCTATACTACTCAAAAGCAGCAACACAAAGTAATCACTAAAACTATGATTTACTAAAAACAACTAAATAGTGCATGAATAATAATTTTAATGTAGTGCACGGGACAACATTTTCTTACAGTTGTTCACAAGAGTTAAAAAATTATAAACTCACATCTCACTGGTTTATTTACACGTTTGACTTTGAATTGATTAAGAATACAAAAAAATTGTTTGCCAGCACAAATGAACATGCACAAACATTAGTCAATAATAGTAAGCTTCACACACACACACACACACACACGTGCACTCCAGTAGGCACACCTCCTGACCACTGTTCCATCCTCTTTGATAGTCTCTCTTTCTACCACCAGAGGGAGCTCTGTTCCGCTAAAACCACTCAAATAACCGAATGCCTGGTGGCATGAAAAGCAGAGAACACAGTCTCTTAATTCAAAGTGATTAAATAATAAAAAACATACATTTGAAACTCGAAACATCGTCACAATGTGCTGTTTGTTTATTATTATTTTTAAACCTAAGGTGCTAAGACATGAAGAATGTTGATGTATAAGTATTATGTTAATATGTGGTTATGTGGTTGGGGAATAACGGTGACAAAGTGTTTAAAAACCTTCTTGAAGTCGTCCTGGGCTGTAGGCAGATCAGAGGTCAAAGACTGATCACCATGGTGTGTCACTGTCCTTTCACCCTCCAACACGGTTGTCCTTTCCGTGTGACTGATCTTGCGGCCATCAGCCGTCTCCTGCCTTGATGATGACGAATGCTCACGTTCGGTAAAAGTCACCTAGGTCAGAAAGTTTATTTAGCTGTACTTTATATATTAATATCAGTATAGATGTTACACCTTCCATTTTTTGGTAAAAAACAAAACAAAAAACAACCCCAAAACAAAACAGAACAAAACACTATGAAGAAGGACATCTGCAACGAACATACCTCTGTGTGGTCTCCCTCACTTTTCACGACTGTCCGCTTCACAACCTTAGAGTAGCCATCTCCCTCCGCTGCAGGGACAAACCCCTGAGGAGCTCCTTCTAAGGTCGTCTCTTCATGCTCCGCACCATCCGCGGAAACACACTTACGTATAATTTTACGGGTAACCTGAGCAAGATAATGCATTTAACGACTATATATAGGATTAACTTTCGAAGCTGCATATAATGCATATAGTGCATTTTTTTCCCACCTTTTTGACAACTATGTGTCCATTTTCATCCTTGTACCTTTCTTCTGACACCGACTGGGCAGGGAGGTCTGGCATTTCATCAGCCTATGAGGAAAACAAGACAACTAATAATCAGACAGGCTCATTTGGGTCAGTGAAATATTCACTTCTTTAACTGACAAATTAGTGCAACTGTATGTTCGAGTATAATAATGCACACAACGTTTAAGCAGTAATTCAGTGAGAAAACAGAGACTTCGGGACACAGGAAACAAACTTGCATTTTCAGATGTATTTTGTTAAATAAACCAAGAAAAAAAAGTGCTCACATCAGCACAAAACTCTCAGGTTAGGCTCATACATGTTAATCAAGGGGTGTGTTATCTAATTTGAACCCATTTTCATCCTTTCTGTTAAGACTTAAGGTTGTTAGAAAATAAACATTTGTAACTTGACAGTGAAAGTTTTTAGCTTTCATTTAGTTGCCACACTGGTTTAAAAGTCATGCTAAATCAGATACCTGAATGACAACTCTTCTTTGTACTATTCTGGCAGTCAAAAATTCATCATCTGAACTTTCTGACATTGATCCAAGCTCAGCGTTGATCTCCTGACCAAGCAACACAAATCCATTGACATTTAATAATGAATGACAGCATGAATGCTAGGTTTGCAGGAAAGCAAGCAAGAAGCAGAGTGATATGTTGCACTTTCAGATGATTGCATGTCGTTTTGTACATTACACTGAAAGTACAACATGGCAGTCTATAATTAAACAAAAAAAGAAAATACACCATGCTCTTACCTAGATGACAATAAATGTGCCTACTGATGAAAAAAAAAGTAACTCATGTTATCACTGTGAGTGATCCTACTAGTTACAGGCAGCAAAGTGACATGCTAAGTTAGGATTAGTCAAATGTGAAATCAAAACAAATTAAGGGTTAGAAGGAGTTTTAGCTCCCATTCACGTGGCTACAGGGTTACCAGCAGTCATTCCTCTCTGAAGCAAATATAGTCATTTGGCCAAGCTCAGCTCTGGGGAAAACACTTGCAGTTTTTTTTTTACCAACTCTCATCTTACCCTTGTCAGAGATTTATCAGTATCATGATATGCTGCAGTTTCACAGATAGGTGGTGGTTGTGAAGTCTCACACAAGGTGAATTCTTCATCTGATGTTTCTTGCATTTCTTCTCTCTTTACATCTACACGATAAAGAGGCTCATGGACAAAAGAAGCGTCTTCGTAATCTTCACTTCCAGAAGACAACAGTACTTTTTGATTCAACTTTTCCTGCACTCTAGAGTGATCCTGGGCTTGACCTCCACTTGACCTAGCTCTTGTCTCAGATTCATCGGGATCAGGCTCTGAGAAATCGGATGAACCCTGTTTGCAGTCAAAGTAAGGCTCTGGGTCAGAATATTCATTGGTTGGACTGTCTGCACCACTATGCACTATAGGACTGTATCCTGAAGGTATCTGAGTATAGGTAGATGAAATAGAGGAGGCCTCTGCATAGCCAGGTGGCAAGTTGTACTCTTCATCAGAGGCTGAAGAAGAATCAGTTTTGGGTTTGACTGAAGAAGACTCAGAGTCAAAACATTCATCGTCTACTGAAGTCAGAGATCCTTCTGAATGGTGTTCACTGGTCCTGTCCTCATCTGAAGATATTTTTAAGTTCCTTGATGAGGAATTGGGCACCAGTTCTTCAAAACTGAAATTTCTTGCAGATATCACTGTCTCAGGAGTCAAATCAGAAAGAGACTGTGAAGACAAATCTTCATTATGTATACTGTCAACAGAGTTTGCTGCCCATAACTGAAGTCTATCTGGGTTAGTCTGTGATTCTGTCACACCTTTAAAGTCATTAGATGGCATAGCTAATTCATGTGCTTCTTGACTCTGAAGAATGTCAGTTGTAGCATCTTCCCAACAAATATCTTTCTCAGGTATGTCAGACTTGCTCTTTGTAGCAACTGAAGGAAATTTCTGAGTATTATTTAGACCATGTGTGCTTAACTGAAATGCATCCACATGAAAGCTTGGTTGTTCCATTTCTTCACAAAGTCTTTGGGAAGATTCTGGGCTCGAAAGGGACTCATTAGAGGACTCAGAACTGTCTTTATGAAGACCAGAGCTTGATGGTACGCTTGTGACAAGTTTTGTTACATCGGGAATGACTGAGACCATTTCATGTTCAAGCTGAATGGATGTCTGGAAATGTGGATGCTCTGTAATGGGAATATCTGGGTTATCTACTGCAAGCTGTGCAGCAGATGATAGATTGACTTTTAGCATATCACTATATTCTGCAGGGCCGTGATCCTGAAGGAAAATATCTTGGAACTCATACATTTGGTCAACTGCAGGGATCTCGTTGGTGGATTCAGATGAATGTGGTTTAAGTGCCTCTGGTCTAAACTTAAGTTTCATCTCCTCCAGATCTGACAGAAGCTGGTCAAGCTGAGGGGACCCAGACCCTGGTGGTGTTGGTGTGGATTCTGAGGACATGACAGTTGCAGCATCTGGGCTATCTTGAGCTGTTTGAGAGACTGATTCTAGAGTCATGAAGCTTGGTTTAACTAAGCCATAATCTTCACTTGTGGGAGATGACATTTTGTCTTTTTCCTGTGGTGCACTAATTTGATTGTTCACTGTGGTGTCAAATTGTGCTTTACTCAAGTCAAAGTTAGCTGGAATTGGTAATTCTAGTTTTTTAGTGAAAACTGTATTTGAATCACATGGTAAGGATGGGGATTCTGCTGGAAAGACCTGCCTCTGTCCTAAATCAAGATTTTTTTGTTGTGAATCTTGTGAAATATTTGTCTTGGAAGATGCAGGTGACACCTGAAAGAAATGGTACAATGAAGTGGGAATTAAAAATAAATATCATGGGCGGTTTTGTTGTTGATTTAAGGAAGACTCCAATGACGCATGCATTTTCCAAGATTTTTCAAGGACAAGTTGGTGTTTTAAATACAAGAACAGTGAGCAATATTTTAAATAATGAAGTTCACTTGTAGTGCACATGCATATAAAACAGAATTAACATATTAAGAAATATGTTAATACATGTATTTAACAAGCAGCATGAGGTTTAAAAAGCATGGCATGACCTATTAAGATGCCCATCGATATTTTTGAAATATTCTTCATAGCAGTACATAATTGACAAGACATTATATTACAACTATGATAGACTTGCAAAAATGAATAACAAAAGATTTGATTTACTGTGAAGATGAACATGCATAAGTATAGTATAAAGTCACTTCCATGTCATATAAAGTCAGCCATCCAGCAGTTTATAAAATTTGCTAGTGCATTTTGCTGAGCTGCATTACTGCAATAATAATAACACTGTTTCAAAAAACCTGCCCAAATGACACAGCATTATAAGGAAAGGTTACAAAAACACATCAGGTGAAAATTTGAATCAACGCAACCCAAGGTGTTGCGCCCCTGCCAATACATTTGAGAAAGCAAAATGTGTGGGTTTTAAATGTAAAAATTCTTTGGCGGAGGATGTACTTTCAAAGAGGAAGAAAAATATCAGCTGTGGCAAATTTAGAATTCTGTGTTTTTTAACTGAACAGCTAAATATTGCAAAAAATTTGCTGCAACTACAGTAAATAAAAAATACATTTCTATTGGTAATCTCTATTAGTTTTGCTTCAGAGAAAGGGCATTCTACCTGTTCTAATGCAAACATGCCATGGTCAGAGAGCCATTGCTTGTTATTGGGGGAAGCTACTACTTATAAAAATCAACACTGCATTCACTGATATGCAACAGTCTTTGCTGCCTTACCAATGCCATGGAAATTTTTCTCTTGAACTTGATCGTGGATTTTCTTTTCATGGGCTTTTCATGTACTTGGGAAGATCAGTCTTGGACATGTGATATTGTTGTGTCCATTTTTGTTCATACACAAGTTGTATTCACTTCAGGGATTCTTTTTTCCTTGAGGTTGTTCATTGGAAAGCCTCCTCCAGCCAGCTACCATGATGAAAACCACTGTTTTCTACAGATGGCTTGTGACTCAAATGATGAAAACTAGCTGTGGTTTATTGTGATCTAATATAGACTTTTTGGCATTTAGGCTTTATTAAAAAACAAACTGAAAAACGGTTATTTATATCTTAGTAAAGAGTTATAGGTTCGTTTTCAAATGTTTCATTTTGTGTAGTCTTTGTTTCAAGATATGTATCTGTGACTGTAACTAATGTAGAGTGAAATCAGAATTTTGTAATCTATTTGAATGCTCTTCTATTTTTTCTTCTTACTTGCCAAAACCAACAGCAACAGATCCTCTGTCTGAACTAGCCTGCATGCCAGATATACTTGGGCAAGATAGTAACCCCAAGTTGCTCTTCGATGCATCCACTGGAGTGTGAATTTTAGACAGAAAGCAATTGCATAGAAAAAGAAAAAAAAGTGCTTGTATGAGTGGGTGAATAAGGCAAGTTGTAGCGCTCCGAGTGCCTTGTCAGAGTAGAAAAGTGCTATATAAGAACCAGTCCATTTACTACTGCTTGAGCATAGGGCTTTGTCTGATTGTTGGGGAGTTTCACTCTAATCTGAATTTTAAATAATTTTAGTGATTGCAGGCAACAAATCATCAACAACTGACTGTGTACACCTTTTTTTGTACAGTACATTTATGGGGGACCCGTAGGATTGAATATTAAACTCTAAAGTATAGAGTGTACAATACACATTGTATACAATACAAACTAGTGTATACAATCGATAATATGGTCATATCACATAAAAGAAAAATAGCAAAACATAAATAATTACAGTGTCTCTCCAGATTAGATAGATAGGTAATTTTATTATCTGAGCTGTGAATATACAATGTTATGCCTATAATGTCTATTCTCTGAAAGACAGAATTGAGTTGGTGGAAGACAGATGATCTGTGACAAAGCACAACACCTGTCAACTCCCTCTGGTGGAGGAGAGTTGATTCAAGGAGATTATCCAAACCTGGTTGCAGAAGGAGAATTTTTCTGTTGGGGTTAACCCTTAAATTTAGAATTCTCTGAGGTTATCTCCTCTCAAATTGTAATTCGACAATTAAATAGAAGACACTTTTGATATTCGTTAGATATTTCCTTATTACTCAGGCAGGTAAATAATAGGGTTTATGGTTATCTTGTATTTGTAGTAATGCTATCTTAATGAAAAGAGCGAATGAGATAATGCAAGCTAGCTAAAGATGGCAACAATAGGTTTGAAAATAGTACAGGTTAAGGATCAAACTTTACCTGATGTGAAAATAGGTACAAATAGAGTTTAATCAAAGTGGTCAACAACTAGTTTGCGTTCCCTGTCAAAACGGTAACGACTGTGGCCTGATGGGCACGACTGTAGCGGTTCGTCGATTGCATTCCTCGGTCGTACAGGAGACCAGTTCTTGAGAAGGCAGGCAACGGGGCATGGATATTATTACGTCACGCCAGTCTTACAAGCGTTACTCAAACCTTGATATCATACACTTGCAGATGGAGGAAATTGCGTGAGACATGGTCATGGTGTTTTGGTGTGCTGTCCACGGTCACCTTTGTATGTGATAGCAAGCAAGGAAACAATAGTCTGTACTAATACAAATGTATAACTAAGTATTAGATGCAATGTTAGTACTGGTGACACTCAATCACTACTGTGAAAGAAGGTGAGCCTGGAGAGCCCTACTGCTATTCTGAATATTGCACTTGAGGTATATACCAGTAGTTAAAGATTTCTTAATACATTTGGTTTGACATATGGTGGGCAAGGTGGACTTGTACTGAACATTCACAACTCATTGATGATGAGGAGAATGTTAAAGCATGCTATCAATTTGATTGTCCCTGAAGATCCCATTAAAGAAGATAATTCTCGGAGATGCTGCTCTTAAAGTCTGCCTAGTCTTAAATACTGATATCTGACAGAGGTTTAAAGAGCATGAACAACGTCCAATTATCCAATTTAAATGAGATACTATTCCATTAGTGACAACCTCTGGAGAACACGCTCTCACAATAAATGATTCTTCTGTCTGAGAATAAACAAAGTAATCCGAGTAAGACTAAAATCAGAGATGGAATGTGACTGGGAGAAATACTCGTGTGAGGTCATGAGTGTCAAGATCTTCATGACATGAACTGATTTTCAATAGTTCACCCGAGCTCTATATTAAGTGAGCATCTTCCGAGGTACCGGGTTTAAAACGATGTTAGCATGTGGGTATAATCTGGTGTAACCTCGCACTTAAAAGTGGTCCACTCACATTTAAACAATCTTTAACAGCTATACATCTTGCTATATGTTGGAGGGAGCAAAGAATAGCATGCTGATAGCTGTAGGAACAGGTGAGTCTGGAGAGATCGAGCGGAGTGTCCATTCACATGAAATGACAACACTTGAACAGCAGAACATTACGCATAGCGATTTTCATTAATTGCTCAGCAGAGAACGTGGGTGGCCATTAAATCTTTCGTCCACGCGCGCACCGCACCTGGCCCAGTGGTGCTTCCGAGGTCGTTTTGGCCTATTCTAGTAAGTAGATGCGGAAGCAATTTGGTGACATAATCAAGAGTTCCCTATGTTAACCATTCTTTGGATGGGCCGAAGTTGATCAGGCAAGTGGATGAAGGGCATTTAGCGTTCCTACGTGGCAAATATGCTTCGACCACATCTTCTCTCCAACTCGTTTTAGAGTTAAAAGCTGCAACCAATAAGCGCTGAAGCGTAGTTCATGACACACATTTGTCCACGAAGATGCAGAAGGCATAGTTCTCAAGTCACTACTTTGGAAGTCAAATAAAGTGTCACATTCGTTGTCATGTGTAAAGCCTCGCACAACCTGTGCATAGGTCAAAGTTCTTGAAGCAGGCAGCAAAGGCGATGATTTTACAGTAAGAGCTGAGTGTTTAACTTCAACATTTGAAGAGTAGGAATCTGGTGAATCTGGTCTGTTGTCTTCAAACATTTGTGCAAGACAAGATTCTAAATCATCATTATCGGACATTGTTGAAAGAGGTGACGTGGGCCTATTTGAAGAATATTGCAAGTAGTAGTTACAATGTTGACTGATTGTTGGACTTAACATCATGGAAGAAGAATGAGGACATTGATGAACTGACACCACAGATTCTGGGGAGGATGCTCTAAAGTCTGCCAGCCAACTGTTCAAGAGTGAAAAGTCCAAACCAGGAGACACAAACTCTGGAGACAACGCTCTATTATCTGACAACAGATCCAGACTAAAATCAGATGAATGTGACTGAGAGGACACTGGTCTGATCTCATCAAACATAATTTCCAGACGCAAATGAGAATCTTCCCAGTCCGAAAATGCTGATTCTGGTGTAACCGACCTTTGCCCTAACAATTCCACTGCATATACATGATTACATTATTGGGGGGGACTCTGAAGGATGTCTGAGGTATAGTCCCTAGTGGTTGATTTAAGTCTCGTATTTATGATTTGTTATTGCGTTGCCCTTGTTGAGAATGTTCTAGTCCTTTTCCCTTCCCGCTCCAGCTGATTCTGTGTCGCAGTGTGTCAAGTTTGCCGTTAATTCTCTCGAGTTTTCCGTTTATTTAGTCTCTGTCGTCGACCACTCGTCTAGAAGATAAAGGGTATGTTCTGTATCAGATGCTTCTGATGGCGAAGATGCAGAAGGCATAGTTCTCAAGTCACTACTTTGGAAGTCAAATAAAGTGTCACATTCGTTGTCATGTGTAAAGCCTCGCACAACCTGTGCATAGGTCAAAGTTCTTGAAGCAGGCAGCAAAGGCGATGATTTTACAGTAAGAGCTGAGTGTTTAACTTCAACATTTGAAGAGTAGGAATC